GTCGAAATCAACCTCGATGATGACGACACCCCTACCCAGTCCCCAGTTCGAGTCTTCCTGTCACGTGTGTCTGGATTCTTGAGGAGAGTATTCCGTGTCAAGATGGACGCTTAGAGTGACATCTTGCTACCTCTCTGACGATGTGTCATATAATAATTAATTACATTCAATCATAAATACAAGATATTTTGTGCTTTTGGCATTTTTGGACCTTTCGGGCGTTTTTCTACTTTTCGGACCTTTCGGACACTTTGTGCTTTTGGTTGTTTTTCCCCCAGAAATATACGCTATTTGTATTATACGTTCAAAGACGTATAGTTTGATTTACACATTTAGGCACTTTCGGACAAGGTATTAACGTCTATTTTATTTGATTAAATCGATTACCAATCAATATTAACTATTAAAGATTGTCTTTTGTTTTTAGCCCCTTTGTTTTGTCTTTTGTTAAATAACACACGATCTTGAAAATCAAACAAGCAACGCGTGGTATGTGCAGAAACTGCATATAACGTTTATAGCAGCATCAGTTGTTCGTGTGGACTCATGACAACAGATAGTTACAGATTCTGACTCGATTCTTTGCATCTCTCTCAACATATTTGCTATAGCATATAACATAGACTTACAATACTAAGGGTGCCAGGTGCCCTGTTGGTACGCGGGATTCGGGGTCTATTTAGAGGGTATTCAGCAGTGTGGTACGCGGGACGCAAAAGAAAATCGTATTTGATACGCAGATTCAACATCTCTAAAATAAAGGTGTAGGTTACAAAAACCTTTATATATTATATTTTTTTCTGTGATTGAAGTTTAATTGCACCCTTTTCTCAATGCTTTTGAGTGTTGCGGTAAGTAGACGAGATTCAGGGGTGAGCAATGGCACCCTCAATACTTGTACCACTAAGATCAATTTGTGCATACAGTCCCTGGAGTCTGTACCCCACCCTCCCTAACGAAGTCATATGACCCAAATTAGATCCCAGATTAGTTCTGTCCTGGTACTGCTGAACACTGGATTTGATTAAAATCGTACAGAAATGACAATCATGATTTAGAGACCACCCATTGGGAGCCTACGTTTCATAACCGAGAGTGAGTGAGTAAGTTTGGTTTAACGAGGCTTTGACCCAGGTCACAGGCGGATACCACTAGCACGGGTCGGGTGCTGACAGAGCAGGGGTCAATACCAAGGAGAATCCAAGATTCGAACCCACGATCATTGGGTCCTGGTACAGTGACGGACGCAATTACACAGATACCAAACATCCCTTGGCCACCCTGCCCCTTTGCATATTCGAAATAATGCTAGAGTAGTTGGTCCTATGTCCTAGAGTTCCTTAATGTCCTATATGTAACTGTACGAAGCAGGAGGCGCTTTCATCGACTCTAGTGACTAGCCTATACTGTAGTCTGTCTTTGAATATACGTAAGTGTGTGAGTGAGTGAATGTTCTTCAGTAATATTTCAGCTATATCAAAGCAGTCTGTAAAGTAATCGAGTCTGGACCAGGGAAACCAGTGGTTGACTGCATTAGCAACGACCCACACGGTCGAAGCACGGTCGAGTGGGGAGATTATTCTACCCAGCAATCTCCAAGTGGGGTTAGTAACTCAGGTTCCCAGTTTTATTTCTACAAGATTCCATTTGAATCGCCACTGAATTGGCAGCCAAACTTGAGACCAGTTTTTACGTTACGATATGCAATTTCGTGTAAAACGTCATAACATGTCAGTTAGTGTATCAATATTGGATCAGACATGTGTCAAACGTGTCAAACGCTGCGTTAAATAGATAATATTGATAATGTCGCTGATTCATTTCCAGTTTGCTCAGAGAGATCGGATGACCTCGAGTGATTATACAACAGGTGAAACACCGATTACAGATAAGGAATTTCGTCACAAAATACTTTGTCAAATGTTGTCGGCTCATTATTGTATCACAGTTAACTTTGTACATATATTTTTGCCGTCTGTTCACAGGAAGATCCGAAGCCAACCCCTCCACTCGCTAGTGGTGGATCACTGAGAAGCCTTCGTCCCCATCTGATGTGTATCGCGCCTGTTATAAACACGTATCAGTGAAACGTTTAATAAAATTCTGCTGTGAATGTTAATCTGTTGTGTGCTTCTTTGTATTCCTGTTCAAATTCTTATGGTGTTATTATCACTTGAGTGAGTGAGTGAATTGGGTCTAAAGCTGCGTTTGCAAAGTGTGGAATGCAGGTCTTGAGCGCTTACAGTTTAAGTGAAACCCACTGGATTCGAACCTATGGTCATAGGATTCTGACACGCCAAAGGCGACGAACATTTGGACGTGTTGTATCCTTGGTGAATGTAACTAAATACCAGTGGAAAGAAGGTACCTAACATTCTTTAACCAGTGATAATATAGGATTATTTTGTCAGAACATCCAGCACGGCAAGTGTTCTAAAACCCGAGGACATTATTGTTTTCAGGACACAGAATGTCAGAAAAATAATAAAAACAGTCCTTTCATTTCGGACTTCACTCTTAAGTAAGTTAATCAGATTCGTCATTAATATATGTAAAATACCGCCTAAATCGGTGGAAAGTCACAATATAACAAACTGGTTAAAGTTACTGTGGCGTATGTGCCATGTACCCGTATTAGGGCGCTATTTATCACCAATATTGCACGGGGAGAATCAAGACAACTACATTGTTCGACACCATCGTTTCTCCCCAAGGGAAGTAACTCTCATCGGTACACCATCTTCGGTAAAGGCCAACGGGATTATCTCCCTTAAAAAATACAACTATAACCGTCAGATACGGAACAAAGTTACAAAACTACTCGCCACATCAAACTTATCTTTTCAAAGTGAACAAAACGCATTTTGAACATTTTTTAATGAACGGGACAGACAGCACCTATTCCTAATCGTGGCGGGGAAAAAAAACAACTAAAAAAATGATCTTATTATTGAAATTTTACACTGTAATAATACCGTGTTATAGTATTGTCCACGGCGCCGTCACAAAACACTAAACATTATGGCAATACATTGTGTGGCTCCAGAATATATAGTGAAATGAAAACTAACAGATACAAGACTGTTTTCTTCAAAATAAATGCTACGAACATTCATCATAAATACCTTGCAACACATTTGAAGCTAAATAATAACCACCGTAATAAACCAACACCCGTGACACATGTGCTTACCTGACGTTAATGTTTTGTTGCTACCAGAGAAATATGATACATTATCATTAAAGTACAACAAATACATTCCCCTGAATATCCATTAAAATTGGCACACAAGGATGAAGTTCCTCAACAAAATGGAACAGTTACGTTAGAAACAAGTACTAGTAGTGAAAATGGTAAATCTACAGTCAGTTTCTGACATTCATACAATTGTATCAACCTGCAAGTTGAACTTGAAACAAGAGAACTGACACGCGACAACAAAATTGTTACTTAAATCTGAAAATACCATAATACATGTAGTAACCATGATAATACAATCTACAGAACAATTAATAAAATCAGCGTCATTGGCTTAATATGTCCGTTTCTATGAGTGAGTGTCTTCACCTATTTTTTGTACTCTGCAATATTCCACCTATATACGACGGCGGTTTGTAAATAATCGAGTCTTGACCAGACAATCCAGTGATGGATATCATGAGCATCAACCAAGTCAACGAGCCTGACCACCCGATCCGTTAGCGACAAGCATATTCATCTGCAAGCATAGGTTGCTGAAGACCTATTCTCACCGGGATATTTACGAGTTTTATCTAGTTTTTGACACAATTGGATGAGGAAGAGAATATATGGATGTCAACTACTTTATTATGAGGAACACAACGTTTCGGGGTATATACTTTCTCCTTCATCAGGTGTAGCAGCATTGGAACCAGTCTATGGTACACCATCATATCATCGGTAATCAAGGTCAACTGGATTATCTCCCCTTAATTACTAACACAAATAATGAAATACGACTATAACCATCAGAACAAAGTTGCATCAATTATGACTAGGGCTGGGACAAGTCCAAATTTACTCCCCGGGTACACACACCCCTGTTACCCGACCCTACCACGGTATCCGCTGTAGGTCTCGCGAGATAGGTCCAAATGTCCGATTGGGAATAGTATAAAACGAACTTCACATGCACACACTGAAGTTGACGGAAGTTTTATCTTTATTCAAACACATAAAGTCAGAAGGAATGCGTGGCTAGTCAGAAAGAAATGTGAACATTTGTGAGTAGTAGCGTAACCATGGAGTTCTAGATAATTTTGCCATTAAACAATATATCACGTGACTAGCCACGGGTCCGGGTAGTCCTGTGAGTACCCGGTTCCTACACAGTACCCACCCGACCCGAGTACCCGAGTTACCCGTCCCAGCCCTAATTATGTCTAAACTTTTCCTCACCCCGTTACCCAAACAGTAACAGACTCCTTACTTGTTTGGTGTAGACACAAAATTCACTATATGCAAATATCCTCCTTAATACAGAAAGTTGAACAGCCTTGCAATTTGTGCCAGCGAAGTACTAAAACTGAAAAAAACAAGACATTACTGAATAGCAAAAGGCACCGGTTCAGCATTTGTCTGGTGAGTATACAAAGTTTTACCAAAATGTTACAATTTATCAATGGTTTATGATTAATGTTCTGGAAAAGAGCCCTACCTTGAACGAAGTCATGAATAGAAAATGGCACGTTCCTGCTCTGTTTACCCTATCAAAGCAGCATCCGTGCGCTTGTAAAGGTAACATATAGCAAAGCCCTTTAAAAGGGCGCTTTTCTACTTGTAATAATGATACTTTAACAACTGGGTCCCAGTCTGGCAAGGACTAACCTACTAGAGCCAATTTCTAACGCTGCTCAGTGTGAACTCACTCGTTTTGAACCAGCCAACAACTGAAAACATTACTGGGATCCTGACTTGCGTAGAGCAAAAAGAAAACCAGTCAAGCTGTCACGTCACGTGATACTATGACAGTCTCGCGAGATTTATGACGTCGCCATGACGACACTTCACTACTGATATCGCCATTGTTATCATCAAACTGCTATTATCTTGCTACTGTTTTGCTGCCATTTTCCTCGTATTTCGCTCATTTTCGTCTGTGTACACTATGAGCTCCTACGCCCAAGGTATGTCATTACTTCTGAATAAGTTAGTTTGACTTTATTCCTTCTTTTATGACTTATTTACTGAATTAAGTCTGAAGTAGGCCTACATCTAGCCAATGGAAAAAAGAAGAAACTTCCAGAACATACTGCCATCAAAGATGATCACTTGTCCAGTGTTCAGATCTTTTCCACGTTAATTGAGGAGGCCGATTTTTCAGCCCTTTGGATCTAAACACATTCGTGTGTTTTTTTAATTTTATCTAGCGATATCTACTCGACTTCAGGCTGATGGAGTCGTTCTCGACCTGGATACCATCGATTATATTGGGACTGATGAGGGGATACCAAAAGAGATACGCTTGATCTAAAACATTTAACAATACATTCAGGGTACATTTCGATAGATCTATTTGTACCCCAGGCACATGTAGATGATACCCAGGTCGAGAACATTCTCATCAGTGTCAGTCCACTAGTCCTTATAATGATAACATATAGCAAAACTCCTAAATATGGCAAATTTCTACAACTCCGTATGAAACCTTTACTATTGGGCAGTTTGGGAAGGACAACAGGACTAGTGCCAATTTCTAACGCTAGAAATTCCACAAGAAGAACTTGTCATTCCTCAAACTCTTAGTGATTCGTTTTCCTGTCCAAAATGTAGGTTATTTGGCTTTTTGTCTTATTAACAGTTTCTTTACTAGGCCCTTTTCAGTAGACTACTACAGTTTACCCTCCGTTTGCACAAATGTGTTTCTGTAAATGTGAGCTAGCAGGCATGGGTTAGTTTTCAGTAGCCCTACATAGATATAGTTTACACTTCAATAATAAGTGAGGTAGTGTTCGTTTCCTAGGCTGTTTCTACTAAACGGATATTGGTTTCTGCTATGGTTTATAGAGCTGTTCAACACATAGACACAACAATCAAATACCAATGAGTATACAATTCATTAATAGCCCAATATCAGCATTCTGAGTTGAATTGTGATTGAAATAAGAATAAGAATAAGAAATCATTTTTCTACCTTTTAACTCCTAGACTGACTTCACTGTTACCTATACACATACTCTTAAATACAAGAACTTTGGTGTACAAAAACACTTCATGTACTTGTGTTTGCCTGTTATATATATCTAAACAAACACTTTGAGTTAAGATAATTTCATTTACATCACTGCTTTATGAACACACGCAGCCTTAGACAAGTTCTATAGTCCTTGCCACACTGCCCAATAGGTATCATAAGGACAGTAGACATTTGCCCTTTTTAAGTGTTTTGCTATGTGTATTCAGTATAAGGACTATCTATACAGTGTTAGAAATTGGCACTAGTCCCGTAGTCCTTGCCAAACTGCCTAATAGTTAAGGTATCATAAGGACTAGTGGACTAAAACTGTTAGTTTCTATCGCTGACATGGCCAGTACGTTTAGTTCAGTCTACACCAATACACATTATATTTCTGATTTTAGCAATACCTGTTGCAAGCAATCACATCATATACCTATGTATTCACATATATCTTTAACAATGTTTTGCAACTCTACATGTCGCATAGCAGTTTACCTAATAATATAGTTATTGTATATTATCTTCCAAAGATTTGTGTATTTTATGTTGTTCCACCACCTCATCATTGACAGAGTAGCTTATATCTTCCACAATATGTATACCCTGTGTGTGTTAAGACTTCATCCAGTGATGTAATCATCGCTCTTCACTTTTTAGAGTGTTATCTTATTTGACTTTGATGACAATGGATCAACAGAATAACTGAATGTTTTTAAAACTCGTTTACATACTGTTCAGTTGGTTCTTTCTTCTTTCATCCTTATTTAAGACTCTCATTCCTTCTTATTCCACAGCTGTTGACCTCGTGATCAGGTTCCCCTTGAACTTTGACATCTGGGCCCCTCCTCGCCAAGTGGGTGTCTTAGGAATTATTAATTTACTAATTGTTCTAAAACTGAAACTATGTCTTGTATTTGATGAGTGTATGGACTTATCTATATAATCTTTAACTAACACATATTCTATTGACTTGCAAACTAATGTACATGTGGAGTAATAAACACACATCTTTATCACTAACGTTCTCCTGACATTATGCATAATGAGTATCCTGTAAATGCAATCCATTTCCATCATCTACCTTCACCTTTCTGTACTTGCTACTTCAATCTACATGTCCTTCGCTCCCTCCCTGTCAGCGTCGTCCTGGGAGATACATGACCATCCTTGACCCCCTGTCACAGCTGCCCACCCCTCCCACCTCTCTCCCTGTCCCTCTCTCTGCCCCCGTCCTCCGTGATGCCCCTCACTTCGTCGAAATCAACCTCGATGATGACGACACCCCTACCCAGTCCCCAGTTCGAGTCTTCCTGTCACGTGTGTCTGGATTCTTGAGGAGAGTATTCCGTGTCAAGATGGACGCTTAGAGTGACATCTTGCTACCTCTCTGACGATGTGTCATATAATAATTAATTACATTCAATCATAAATACAAGATATTTTGTGCTTTTGGCATTTTTGGACCTTTCGGGCGTTTTTCTACTTTTCGGACCTTTCGGACACTTTGTGCTTTTGGTTGTTTTTTCCCCCAGAAATATACGCTATTTGTATTATACGTTCAAAGACGTATAGTTTGATTTACACATTTAGGCACTTTCGGAAAAGGTATTAACGTCTATTTTATTTGATTAAATCGATTACCAATCAATATTAACTATTAAAGATTGTCTTTTGTTTTTCGCCCCTTTGTTTTGTCTTTTGTTAAGTAACACACGATCTTGAAAATCAATCAAGCAACGCGTGGTATGTGCAGAAACTGTATATAACGTTTATAGCATCATCAGTTGTTCGTGTGGACTCATGACAACAGATAGTTACAGATTCTGACTCGATTCTTTGCATTTCTCTCAACATATTTGCTATAGCATATAACATAGACTTACAATACTAAGGGTGCCAGGTGCCCTGTTGGTACGCGGGATTCGGGGTCTATTTAGAGGGTATTCAGCAGTGTGGTACGCGGGACGCAAAAGAAAATCGTATTTAATACGCAGATTCAACATCTCTAAAATAAAGGTGTAGGTTACAAAAACCTTTATATATTATATTTTTTTCTGTGATTGAAGTTTAATTGCACCCTTTTCTCAATGCTTTTGAGTGTTGCGGTAAGTAGTCGAGATTCAGGGGTGAGCAATGGCACCCTCAATACTTGTACCACTAAGATCAATTTGTGCATACAGTCCCTGGAGTCTGTTCCCCACCCTCCCTAACGAAGTCATATGACCCAAATTAGATCCCAGATTAGTTCTGTCCTGGTACTGCTGAACACTGGATTTGATTAAAATCGTACAGAAATGACAATCATGATTTAGAGACAACCCATTGGGAGCCTACGTTTCATAACCGAGAGTGAGTGAGTAAGTTTGGTTTAACGAGGCTTTGACCCAGGTCACAGGCGGATACCACTAGCACGGGTCGGGTGCTGACAGAGCAGGGGTCAATACCAAGGAGAATCCAAGATTCGAACCCACGATCATTGGGTCCTGGTACAGTGACGGACGCAATTACACAGATACCAAACATCCCTTGGCCACCCTGCCCCTTTGCATATTCGAAATAATGCTAGAGTAGTTGGTCCTATGTCCTAGAGTTCCTTGATGTCCTATGTTACTGTACGAAGCAGGAGGCGCTTTCATAGACTCTAGGGACTAGCCTATACTGTAGTCTGTCTTTGAATATACGTAAGTGTGCGAGTGAGTGAATGTTCTTCAGTAATATTTCAGCTATATCAAAGCAGTCTGTAAAGTAATCGAGTCTGGACCAGGGAAACCAGTGGTTGACTGCATTAGCAACGACCCACACGGTCGAAGCACGGTCGAGTGGGGAGATTATTCTACCCAGCAATCTCCAAGTGGGGTTATTAACTCAGGTTCCCAGTTTTATTTCTACAAGATTCCATTTGAATCGCCACTGAATTGGCAGCCAAACTTGAGACCAGTTTTTACGTTACGATATGCAAATTCGTGTAAAACGTCATAACATGTCAGTTAGTGTATCAATATTGGATCAGACATGTGTCAAACGTGTCAAACGCTGCGTTAAATAGATAATATTGATAATGTCGCTGATTCATTTCCAGTTTGCTCAGAGAGATCGGATGACCTCGAGTGATTATACAACAGGTGAAACACCGATTACAGATAAGGAATTTCGTCACAAAATACTTTGTCAAATGTTGTCGGCTCATTATTGTATCACAGTTAACTTTGTACATATATTTTTGCCGTCTGTTCACAGGAAGATCCGAAGCCAACCCCTCCACTCGCTAGTGGTGTATCACTGAGAAGCCTTCGTCCCCATCTGATGTGTATCGCGCCTGTTATAAACACGTATCAGTGAAACGTTTAATAAAATTCTGCTGTGAATGTTAATCTGTTGTGTGCTTCTTTGTATTCCTGTTCAAATTCTTATGGTGTTATTATCACTTGAGTGAGTGAGTGAATTGGGTCTAAAGCTGCGTTTGCAAAGTGTGGAATGCAGGTCTTGAGCGCTTACAGTTTAAGTGAAACCCACTGGATTCGAACCTATGGTCATAGGATTCTGACACGCCAAAGGCGACGAACATTTGGACGTGTTGTATCCTTGGTGAATGTAACTAAATACCAGTGGAAAGAAGGTACCTAACATTCTTTAACCAGTGATAATATAGGATTATTTTGTCAGAACATCCAGCACGGCAAGTGTTCTAAAACCCGAGGACATTATTGTTTTCAGGACACAGAATGTCAGAAAAATAATAAAAACAGTCCTTTCATTTCGGACTTCACTCTTAAGTAAGTTAATCAGATTCGTCATTAATATATGTAAAATACCGCCTAAATCGGTGGAAAGTCACAATATAACAAACTGGTTAAAGTTACTGTGGCGTATGTGCCATGTACCCGTATTAGGGCGCTATTTATCACCAATATTGCACGGGGAGAATCAAGACAACTACATTGTTCGACACCATCGTTTCTCCCCAAGGGAAGTAACTCTCATCGGTACACCATCTTCGGTAAAGGCCAACGGGATTATCTCCCTTAAAAAATACAACTATAACCGTCAGTTACGGAACAAAGTTACAAAACTACTCGCCACATCAAACTTATCTTTTCAAAGTGAACAAAACGCATTTTGAACATTTTTTTATGAACGGGACAGACAGCACCTATTCCTATTCGTGGCGGGGGAAAAAAACAACTAAAAAAATGGTCTTATTATTGAAATTTTACACTGTAATAATACCGTGTTATAGTATTGTCCACGGCGCCGTCACAAAACACTAAAACATTATGGCAATACATTGTGTGGCTCCAGAATATGTAGTGAAATGAAAACTAACAGATACAAGACTGTTTTCTTCAAAATAAATGCTACAAACATTCATCATAAATACCTTGCAACACATTTAAGGCTAAATTATAACCACCGTAATAAACCAACACCCGTGACACATGTGCTTACCTGACGTTAATGTTTTGTTGCTACCAGAGAAATATGATACATTATCATTAAAGTACAACAAATACATTCCCCTGAATATCCATTAAAATTGGCACACAAGGATGAAGTTCCTCAACAAAATGGAACAGTTACGTTAGAAACAAGTACTAGTAGTGAAAATGGTAAATCTACAGTCAGTTTCTGACATTCATACAATTGTATCAACCTGCAAGTTGAACTTGAAACAAGAGAACTGACACGCGACAACAAAATTGTTACTTAAATCTGAAAATACCATAATACATGTAGTAACCATGATAATACAATCTACAGAACAATTAATAAAATCAGCGTCATTGGCTTAATATGTCCGTTTCTTTGAGTGAGTGTCTTCACCTATTTTTTGTACTCTGCAATATTCCAACTATATACGACGGCGGTTTGTAAATAATCGAGTCTTGACCAGACAATCCAGTGATGGATATCATGAGCATCAACCAAGTCAACGAGCCTGACCACCCGATCCGTTAGCGACAAGCATATTCATCTTACGACAAGCATAGGTTGCTGAAGACCTATTCTCACCGGGATATTTACGAGTTTCATCTAGTTTTTGACACAATTGGATGAGGAAGAGAATATATGGATGTCAACTACTTTATTATGAGGAACACAACGTTTCGGGGTATATACTTTCTCCTTCATCAGGTGTAGCAGCAGTGGAACCAGTCTACGTTACACCATCATATCATCGGTAATCAAGGTCAACTGGATTATCTCCCCTTAATTACTAACACAAATAATGAAATACGACTATAACCATCAGAACAAAGTTGCATCAATTATGACTAGGGCTGGGACAAGTCCAAATTTACTCCCCGGGTACACACACCCCTGTTACCCGACCCTACCACGGTATCCGCTGTAGGTCTCGCGAGATAGGTCCAAATGTCCGATTGGGAATAGTTTGACCGTATTTAGATACTCGTATAAAACGAACTTCACATGCACACACTGAAGTTGACGGAAGTTTTATCTTTATTCAAACACATAAAGTCAGAAGGAATGCGTGGCTAGTCAGAAAGAAATGTGCACATTTGTGAGTAGTAGCGTAACCATGGAGTTCTAGATAATTTTGCCATTAAACAATATATCACGTGACTAGCCACGGGTCCGGGTAGTACCCACCCGACGCGAGTACCCGAGTTACCCGTCCCAGCCCTAATTATGTCTAAACCTCTCCTCGCCCCGTTACCCAAACAGTAACAGACTCCTTACTTGTTTGGTGTAGACACAAAATTCACTATATGCAAATATCCTCCTTAATACAGAAAGTTGAACAGCCTTGCAATTTGTGCCAGCGAAGTACTAAAACTGAAAAAAACAAGACATTACTGAATAGCAAAAGGGACCGGTTCAGCATTTGTCTGGTGAGTATACAAAGTTTTACCAAAATGTTACAATTTATCAATGGTTTATGATTAATGTTCTGGAAAAGAGCCCTACCTTGAACGAAGTCATGAATAGAAAATGGCACGTTCCTGCTCTGTTTACCCTATCAAAGCAGCATCCGTGCTCTTGTAAAGGTAACATATAGCAAAGCCCTTTAAAAGGGCGCTTTTCTACTTGTAATAATGATACTTTAACAACTACATCTAGCCAATGGAAATAAGAAGAAACTTCCAGAACATACTGCCATCAAAGATGATCACTTGTCCAGTGTTCAGATCTTTTCCACGTTAATTGAGGAGGCCGATTTTTCAGCCCTTTGGATCTAAACACATTCGTGTGTTTTTTTAATTTTATCTAGCGATATCTACTCGACTTCAGGCTGATGGAGTCGTTCTCGACCTGGATACCATCGATTATATTGGGACTGATGAGGGGATACCAAAAGAGATACGCTTGATCCAAAACATTTAACAATACATTCAGGGTACATTTCGATAGATCTATTTGTACCCCAGGCACATGTAGATGGTACCCAGGTCGAGAACATTCTCATCAGTGTCAGTCCACTAGTCCTTATAATGATAACATATAGCAAAACTCCTAAATATGGCAAATTTCTACTAGTCCGTATGAAACCTTTACTATTGGGCAGTTTGGGAAGGACAACAGGACTAGTGCCAATTTCTAACGCTAGAAATTCCACAAGAAGAACTTGTCATTCCTCAAACTCTTAGTGATTCGTTTTCCTGTCCAAAATGTAGGTTATTTGGCTTTTTGTCTTATTAACAGTTTCTTTACTAGGCCCTTTTCAGTAGACTACTACAGTTTACCCTCCATTTGCACAAATGTGTTTCTGTAAATGTGAGCTAGCAGGCATGGGTTAGTTTTCAGTAGCCCTACATAGATATAGTTTACACTTCATTAATAAGTGAGGTAGTGTTCGTTTCCTAGGCTGTTTCTACTAAACGGATATTGGTTTCTACTATGGTTTATAGAGCTGTTCAACACATAGACACAACAATCAAATACCAATGAGTATACAATTCATTAATAGCCCAATATCAGCATTCTGAGTTGAATTGTGATTGAAATAAGAATAAGAATAAGAAATCATTGTTCTACCTTTTAACTCCTAGACTGACTTCACTGTTACCTATACACATACTCTTAAATACAAGAACTTTGGTGTACAAAAACACTTCATGTACTTGTGTTCGCTTGTTATATATATCTAAACAAACACTTTGAGTTAAGATAATTTCATTTACATCACTGCTTTATGAACACACGCAGCCTTAGACAAGTCTTATAGTCCTTGCCACACTGCCCAATAGGTATCATAAGGACAGTAGACATTTGCCCTTTTTAAGTGTTTTGCTATGTGTATTCAGTATAAGGACTATACAGTGTTAGAAATTGGCACTAGTCCCGTAGTCCTTGCCAAACTGCCTAATAGTTAAGGTATCATAAGGACTAGTGGACTAAAACTGTTAGTTTCTATCGCTGACATGGCCAGTACGTTTAGTTCAGTCTCCACCAATACACATTATATTTCTGATTTTAGCAATACCTGTTGCAAGCAATCACATCATATACCTATGTATTCACATATATCTTTAACAATGTTTTGCAACTCTACGTGTCGCATAGCAGTTTACCTAATAATATAGTTATTGTATATTATCTTCCAGAGATTTGTGTATTTTATGTTGTTCCACCACCTCATCATTGACAGAGTAGCTTATATCTTCCACAATATGTATACCCTGTGTGTGTTAAGACTTCATCCAGTGATGTAATCATCGCTCTTCACTTTTTAGAGTGTTGTGTTATTTGACTTTGATGACAATGGATCAACAGAATAACTGAATGTTTTTAAAACTCGTTTACATACTGTTCAGTTGGTTCTTTCTTCTTCATCCTTATTTAAGATTCTCATTCCTTCTTATTCCACAGCTGTTGACCTCGTGATCAGGTTCCCCTTGAACTTTGACATCTGGGCCCCTCCTCGCCAAGTGGGTGTCTTAGGAATTATTAATTTACTAATTGTTCTAAAACTGAAACTATGTCTTGTATTTGATGAGTGTATGGACTTATCTATATAATCTTTAACTAACACACATTCTATTGACTTGCAAACTAATGTACATGTGGAGTAATAAACACACATCTTTATCACTAACGTTCTCCTGACATTATGCATAATGAGTATCCTGTAAATGCAGTCCATTTCCATCATCTACCTTCACCTTTCTGTACTTGCTACTTAAATCTACATGTCCTTCGCTCCCTCCCTGTCAGCGTCGTCCTGGGAGATACATGACCATCCTTGACCCCCTGTCAGAGCTGCCCACCCCTCCCACCTCTCTCCCTGTCCCTCTCTCTGCCCCCGTCCTCCGTGATGCCCCTCACTTCGTCGAAATCAACCTCGATGATGACGACACCCCTACCCAGTCCCCAGTTCGAGTCTTCCTGTCACGTGTGTCTG